TTTAATACGTGCTGTTAAACTGATGCCATTCTCGAAATCACATGATGAAGAGAGAGAGAGAGAGAGAGAGAGAGAGAGAGAGAGAGAGAGAGAGAGAGAGAGAGAGAGAGAGAGAGGTTTCGTAGAGAAATTCACAGGAATTCCTGACTGAAAGGTCAGCAACGAACTCATACCGGATGACACACATTGTGTTGTGTTTAACCAAAGCGGCTAGCTGAACCACGGCAAGCTCACAGGGAGATTCTGCTGGTGCAAACTATCTGTTGGTAGCATGACAACCAATACTGAGCAAAGCAGTATACCGACCCTACTAACAGCTATAGGTCGTCGTGAGTGAAAGGTCTGGCAGCAGGTTCATCTCTACGGCGACGAGACAGCCTGGGCAAATCGAGGTCACTCTGAAAGAAAGAAAGAAAAGCACGGCAAAGATCCACGCTCCAAATGTATCTGCATCGCAGTACACATTGAAACCAGTCCAGTGCTTTACTGCTTGGATTCATCTAAAACATGTACAGTGAATGCAATGCACAGACTAAATTTCCTGATATTTACTCCCAGACCAGTTGCTACAGCAGAGAAGGATAGCTATTTTAAACCTATGCTTTTCTATCCTAGGTTTACGGTAGTTGAGAGTACTGTTAGTTACAGCATTATTCGATCGAACACGTATGTTAAATACATGTTCAACCTGAGAAATATCTCAGGTATTATTTCACTCTGGAGCGGTTGAAGATGAGAACATAATATATTCTGCTAGCCACTGAAACAATTTTCCATCAGCCACCACACCATAACTATGCTGCAAACCCCTTTAACATTGTAAATGCTGTGTGCCTGGTAGGCCTGAGATAGCAGGATCTACTAGTGATGTAAAGAGCAGCTCTCTGTTGAGCTGACGCGTACCTTAGTGCAACGTGGCTTGGCCAGTGTCTATTCCCACGTGCTTAGCATGTAGGTTGAGCGACACACACTTTCCCACGTAGGTTACATGCCTTCTTGGCATGGCACATCATGTGACCAAACGCCAGAACCTGGCCAGATAGGTTCTTGCGTTGTACGTTTCCTGGAAATGTGACTCCAGGCTTTGTGCACGTCACTACTACGTTCTACAGGTTTCCACGATGCCTAGGTGCTTTGTGCAAAGAGCCAAGATTAACAAGAGCTAAGTGCAAAGAATGAAGAGATGGGCACAAGAGCTAAAACCGTCACCACGCCAGGTCAAGGGTATCGTGCAAACAAGACAAGAATGCCGCTGATCTTACCTATAAGAAGCCTCTGAGCAATGGCACGTTGGGTGAGCAGGCTCTCCACGTCCGTTTCTTGTCCCTCTTCTCTCCACGTCTCTCTTTCTCTTTCTTCTCAAATCATTACCGTACGTGCATCCTGCTTTTCTGTCGACTGGCTGCGCTTACTCCGGTTTTACCTTTTCTACAATTTCCTGAAAATACCTCGTACCATTCTAAGCAACGATCACGCCATATGTTCAAAAACGCGCTATAAAAGAAGCTCTCACCCTCTCTTTTATGTCAGTCGAGACTCAGTCTCACTCTCAGCTCTCAGTCTTGGTTTTACTCTGAGCTCGAACTTAAATGATTACTCACAATGTTAAACTAACAGTCTTTGTCTGTTGATCATGTGGGGATGAACTTGGACCAAGCCAGCTATACTGGTCGGCCCCTGGGCTGTGCTGGGCTCGTCGTGAGGCCACACGTCTATTTAGTCGCCGCTCTTTGTGACTTCGGTCCGGTCACTAAGCGCAGGGATGCGACATAACGATGGCTAAACATATTATTCTCTTGTATCAATCCAAACAACTATGTTGTCCCTCCCCGAGTACTCCACTTACTCGCACAGTGAGTGGCTGTCCTCTGGTCCAACCGTGCAGAGCGCTGGGACCACTGTCGTAGAATGTCCGCTGGTGACGTCCAGTGTTCGATGTGTAGTGCGCAATTATGAATGTTCTCCGGTCGGGGTTCAACAGAGAGTACTCCTGTCGGTACTGATTGATCAGTGATACACTCAACGGGATGTTCCAGAAGACAACCTACACGAAAGCAGCGTACATGTACACAGGATACACAGGGTACACAGGATACACAGGATACACAGGATCAGTGACTTCAGAACCTCGGCCATGTTGCACAGTACTTTTAGTAGACAAACTTCTCTGAAGTTCTATTGTTTAAAAAAATCATTATTATCACGTGTCACTCCAAAACAAGTGTAGCCGGAATCACTTGAATAGATCTCTAATCCAGTACTAACTTATACACCCCTAGCCTGGAATCAAGATACACGTGTCACTCCAATACAAGTGTGGCCAGAATCACTTGAATAGATCTCTAATCCAGTACTAACTTATACACCCCTAGCCTGGAATCAAGACACATAGACAGTTAGTCGTAGCAGACTTTCTAATAGATGTAGATATTGAATAGGAAATGTGCTATTGGCAGTAGCCAAATGTGTAACCTAGTTTCACTGTAGAAGCACCAACGCAAAGTAGACTAGGGGCTGCTGCTGCTGCACTCTCTTACCTCGTCGATTTGTCCATGAAAAAAGTTGAGCTGGCTGTCTTGGCCGATGTACACCCGTCTATTTGCCTGTCAGTCAAGTGAGCCAGATAGATCAGAATACTCTCAGAGCCATCCCATTACTGCAATGCCTCACACTACCGAGACATAGAATACTTGTACGAGTAAGCGACCTCTGAGCACCTTAATCATGCACGCCACCCCCCCCCCCCCCCCAAAGACACACAGTGGACGAGATATAGGCAGTATGCATGCGTTTCAACACTGGAGTAACAGCGCACCACTGCTTGCGACATCCCGTTTGCGCTCACCAATCTTCGACAGCTAGGATAGTCGATGGCAGCGTGGCGTCACAACGAGGATGGACTGCACACAAAGTTAAACTCACGGAGCGTGGATTACCTGATAAGCCTGAACTTGCGCTGCTAGTGTGGCTGCCTCTTCTTGACCATCAAACACTAGCTTCATCTGAGCAACTACACGCACCCGGAGGAAATGCACAAGAAAAAAGACGAGGCTGAAAATTGCAGTGACTCTAACTGCATTTTAAGGACCTGTTAATCCTTGAAGGGTGGTGGCGTCCCTACGGATGCGGAAAACTCGGATTCCAACCGAGTCTCACGCAAACCGTGAATTAAAATAATAAAATTTAAGAAGTTTTCTGCATGAAACTAAAACGACGGCCCGGTATGTTCACGCCATGAAAACCCAAATGAATTAGACTTGTTGACTATCCAGGGAAGATCAGGATAAGGACATGGGTCTGCGTCAGGCGAAATAGCACGTCATAGTACATTTGAGACCAGTAGGAAGAAGATGACGACGTCCACTAATTTTGTATTTGTGCACACGAATCTGCTGTGTGTGTGACTCTGTGTGTCAGCTATGACATCAACCCCTGTGGTTCCATGCCTAGCATGTACGTCTGAACCATCCTGCAAAGTTTGAATGACGCAGGTTGAGCGATCGCTCCACGAACCAGACTTTTTGAAATTCTCTTCATAGTATATCTTCCACCATTGAAATTTCGAATTTCTTGCTGAGAGGGGTGGCTTGCAACCTCGATATGGCTTGTTCCAGACATGCTGTGAAGTGAACCCTTATTGAAGTAGTGGCGGGGATCTGCCCTGCAACTGCTACAAAAAAAATGATTCGATCTGAGGAAGGGTGAGACCGCGAATCTCGGTTGAATATTGAGTATTTCAAGCCTTTTCACGACGAAGATGAAGTTCTTTTTGGAGATGGACGTCGCGGCAAAGGACATGGTTACCGACTTCTGGCGTCTGGTGAAGCCAGGCATCATTTGTCCAGTCAGGTCGGCAGCCTAACCGTCGGTAAGCTTGTGTTTGGATCCCGTTCTGCTCGATGTGGTAGATCACAAACAATTTGATATCGCACAAATTGATCTCAGCATCGTGCGTACGGTATTTTATATTCAGAAAATCTCAAAGTGTATCTGTGTGGCCGTCCTATGCCACGAGAAACTGAAATCAGGCTCCTATGTCCTCTGCCTTCATGATTGAATGTCCACTTCGTTTGAACAACGAACACAACAATCGAGGACGGCTTTGCAATGAAAAATACAGCTATTGGAGCTGAAAAAAGGAAGAAAAAGAACGTGCTCAGGATGAGACTCGAGTACACGCATACTCTCCCAGCAGGTGAAACGCAAATTTTTGTTAAAAAATGCGTGTCGCCAACTGACCAGTAATTTCGCCTGACGTGAGCATGTGCACTGCACCCACAGCATGAAGACAATAACGGTGTATTACCCTTTGTCGATCAGCAGCAGCAAAACTCTAGGGGGGGGGGGGGGTGTCAGGGACTCACTCGTACTACTAGGCGGAACCCATCCTACTGTTGTTTCTCTTTGGCCAATTTTTGCAGTGAGGTCGTTTTGGAGATTGAAAAGTTGTGAACTTGTAAACTGGCTATAAAATTTACATTCATAATCACAGCTTGCCAGTGAAGGCACATGACGAGTAACCTCCTCCCTTACCAGGCGATATGAACTGTATAACCAAGTGATGCCATGTGTTGTTGGTCAGCTGGCTTTGTCCAACCACACTGACACCGCTCATCGTAGCTGCAGGATGTCTGCAGACAAGAACAGGGCAGGAACGGAATGAGAATATCCTCAAACTAATGAACGACAATGATCGTGTAGGATAGATACGGGTAGCCATATCACTTTATTATTGTAAAGAAAATGCCAAGTCTGTAGGATGTCAGATAGTCATGCACACAAACTCAACTATTGAGATGATGTTTCAGAAATGGTGCCTTATATGGCATTTTATCTAGGGTGGCAATCGCACTCTTTCTTGGATGAAAAATAAAAAAGTCAGATTTGTACTTGCTTGTACAGTATAGTACTTTCACTCATACAATAATTATAGTACTTTCACTCATACAATAAAGTACTTTCACCCATACAATATAGCACATTCAAGTATTAGCTGCAGGGATGACGTTGGCCTGATTTTCGTGTTTAAAAATAAAATCTTTCTGGGAAAATGGTGTGTTGCTCCCTACGTGGGATCGCATCATTGGCTGTCCCTACCGACCTGAATTTTCACTTGACTGACTCACAACTGCCATCCAGAGCTCTCACATAAGGCGCACATACAATTGATCACCCAAGTATCGCCAAAGTCTCTACAACCTCTTCTTCTTGACCCTGGAGAATGTATTATTGAATTTTGAAGAAAGCATACGGCCAAGGGACGTGGGCACAACAGACCTACACACATGCACGCACGCATGCACACACGCACACACATGCACACACACGCACGCGCGCGCGCGCACACGCACACGTACACGGATTCTGCAAACTCTTACCCGTTATTGACCATGAGACAGAGAAGTCCATCCGAGGTGCAGATTATAGGATGCACCTCACCCTGACCCACACTGTGAAGCTTGACCCAGCAGGCTATTGTGAAACTTTAGATCAAACAAGATGACATGTGCACGCACACGCACACACACACACACACACACACACACACACACACACACACACACACGCACACACACACGCACACGCACACACACACACACACACACACACACGCACACACACACACACACACACACACACACACACACACACAGATGAAAAAAACACATGGGCATGGATCAGATAGTACTGCAGGGGTGTCGGAAGGTAATTTAGTGTGGTACGGTCAGTCATCTGAAGTACAATTTACTTGTGGGGGAGGGGTGGCTGAGCCGAAAAATTTGGAAAATTTGGAGCCCAAATCAGTAGTGCATTTTATTGATTCACGGGGTACTTGGGTCAAGTAGTGGTACGGTCAATGCCGTAGTGACCGTACCGTGTGCGACGCTCCTGCACTGTCTGTACGGATGCAGCTTCACGTTTCAAGGCCTACTTGAAACAAAGGAAGCTGTACATCTGAGCAGTTAAATTGAATTACTTCGATAGTGTGCAGTGCACAATGGTGTAAAGGTTCTCTGCAAAATTAAAGTGGAACAGAGGCTACAGTCCATTTCAAAACTATAGACGCGTACCTAGGCAAAAACCGTTATGCCAGCATCTATACCACATAAAATCTGTGATCACTTTTGCATAAATTTTTCCTAATTGGGCGTCTGTTATCCAATCCTTTAGAAACTATATGAGTGTAATTGTGGAGCGATCCTGAGCAATATTCCGAAAACTATTCTCAAAAAGTTCCAGCCAAATTTGAAATATTTCAAAAACCCTACGCGTCTATAGTTTTGAAATGCACTGTAGTGACACCTCATTGCGTGTTTTCATGCAGATAATAATGAAAAGTAATTCATTTGTATTGGCCTTTGGGATTCCAAGGAGGCAAGTGGATTTCAGGTTCCCCGCACACCATGGGATACTACAGTGCTGATTGAGGAAATACGATCGAGCGAGAGGTTCACGCCTTGCACCAGCTGAACATCCCAGTCTTGGTGCAGTGCAGGTCTAGGGTTGTTTGGCTGACAGCATGTTACAAGGCGGAGGACACACTGCGTTGAAAACAGTGCGGCTCCTTGCTACAATCATCATCACCTGGTGACATGCTGTCAACCAAACATTTTTTTGTCACGTCCCTGGACGTGACGACTGCTGCCTGATAGTCCTGTGAAAGCAGGATCTACGTAGTGAGCAGCTCTGTGCTGAGCTGTCACGCCCTTTTGATACGTGGCGTGGCCAGTGTCTTGTCCCACGTGCTTAGCATGTAGGTTGAGTGACACGCGCTTTCCCACGTAGGAGACATGCCTTTTGGCATGACACATCATGTGAACAAAGGCCGGAACCTGCTCATGTAGGTTCTCGCGTTGTACGTTTCCTGGAAGTGCTTCACTTCCTGGACATGTGACTCCAGGCTTTGTGCAAAACCACGTCACTATGACGTTCTACAGGTTTCCACGATGCCTCGGTGCTTTGTGCAAAGAGCCAAGACTAACAAGAGCTAAGTGCAAAGAGTGCGAAGCCAAGACGGGCGCAAGAGCCAAAACCGTCACCGCGCCAGGTCAAGGGTATCACGCAAGCAGAGCGAAGAACACCGCAGAACTTACCCATAAGAAGCCGCTCAGCAATGGCACATTGGGTGAGCGGGCTCCCCAACGTGACCTGCATATACGCACATTGTACTCTGACGTGGATGAGCGGGCTGCCCACGTCCCAATTTGGTCTTTCTTCTCTCCATGTCTTTCTTCCTGTTTCTTCTGGAAAGATTACCGTACGTGTATTCTGCTTTTCTGCTGACTGGCTACTCATATTCCGGTTTTACTTGTTCTACTATTTCCTGGAATTACCTCGTACCATTCTAAGCAATGATCACGCCATATCTCTAAATTGCGCTAGAAAAGAAGCTCTCATTCTCTCTTCTACTTCAGCAGTCGAGACTCGGTCTCAGCTCTCTGTCTTGGTTTACTTTGAGCTCGGATTTGAATACTACCCACAACGTGAAGCTAACAATCCTTGTCTGTCGATCGTGTGGGGTTGAACTTGGACCAAGCCAGCTATATTGGTTGGCACCTGGGTTGTGCTGGGCTCGTCGTGAGGCCACACGTCTATTTGGTCGCCACTCGTAGTGATTTCTGGGTCCGGTCACTGAGCGCAGGGATGCGACATTTTCAACAAAACAACATGACATTGTTTTCAACGCATCAAGGCTTAAATAACTAACACTAGGTCTAGGCTGCACAGTGCGGCCCGGTGTGTACTTGACTCACTGGACCAGATTTCATTGATCAGCACTTGTAGTAATTATCATGATTGCCGTGGTGGCCGGAGCAAAATCCAATCTCGTGGATAAATACATAAATAACATGGGTTCAAGTACAGAATGGGTCAATAGCCACCTTTACGCTTCCTTGGGAGGCTACTCCCCCCCCCCCCCTCCATGATTAGGTGTCAGATACAGCTCCCAAACTGTGGGGGAGGATGATCTTATGGATTGAGCACTGAGAATCTGAATATACATTACACCCGGCGTTGAGAATGCTTGGAGCATGTAGCCTTGGTGTAGGGAGATTCACCTGTCCAGACTTCACTTGCTGGTACTCTACATACTCTACTTCACACACATACTAAGAGCTGTGACGCAAAAGCCAGATAAGCGCCAAATTTGAGAAAATCAGATTTTCAGCTCGGGCAATCCAAAGGTCTAGAGGTACCACCAGGAAGAAGTCACATTCCAAATGTGAGTAGAACCATTTCAAAACTGGAACCCAAATTCGGATTTGGATACCAACAGCAAATAAAATGAATCCTTTCTTGGCCGTTATGTGAAAAGCGATGGAATGAATTTAGCGGGTTTTGCTTTCCAGCTACAGTAAAACCTGTAACTAAAGACCACCGTGACTAGCGACCAGCCTGGTACTACACTACAACCTGTAACTAAAGACCACCGTGACTAGCGACCAGCCTGGTACTACAGTACAACCTGTAACTAAAGACCACCGTGACTAGCGACCAGCCTGGTACTACAGACCGCTTCGCCAGGCACGGACGGTCTCACATTCATATTATAATGGTTGTGTGGTGCAAACCTCTAACTAAGGACCACCTGCCACTAAAGACCGCTTTCTCTGGCCCCAACGGGTGGTCGTTAGTCACAGGTTTTACTGTATGCATATGGGAGTCGTAGCATATACGGAGACGACAATATCATTGTACTTCGAAGCACCGAAACAATGTGAGTTCGACGCCGGAGTTGGAAGTTGCACGTGATCCGTGGTCTATGCAACTTGCGATTGCAATCAGAGCCTTCGCCTGCTGGCCTCAAACACAACCCAGTCCAGTAATGCCTTTGTCTATTGTTGGCTGTCCCCTTCCCATATCCATTCAGCATATGCGAATCTGTGGGCATTTATCCTATGGAAATTGCTGACATTGATGCGGAAATGCGATTAATAATAATAATAATAATAATACACCACCCACGATCTTCTACCATCCGTTTTCACCTGCCGAGATCTGAGGACGACCGAGGGATTGTATCGGTTGAGCACCTGCTGGAGAGGAAGTACATCCGCCTGTCTAGGTACCTCCAGGCGCACTCTGACCTGCTGCTAATTGCTGCTCTGCATTCTCATCACAAAAATCTCCCACCTACAAGGTCAATTATCTCCCGGGCGACCATAGCTATGGAGCATTTCAACACCCCGGACATCGGAGGTGCAACAACTGATGTTCTTAAGTCTGCTATAGTAACCACCACCCAAGCTTCTCTGCGGCAGAAGCCCCTGCATGGTCGATATTGGCAGCGGAGTGACGGTGTATTGGACATGCCTCTCTCCTTCAACTTCTTAAAGTCTCCCACATTGCGTCCATCTACTGAGTCATCTGTATTTGCTGCTCAGGATCAGGTGGGTAATACCAGGAACTACCAGAGGTCAGTTATTGGCGACACTTCCGTGGTTGACGTGTGCCGTTTGTGCGGAGTTCCGGGAGAGACTGTTGACCATATTCTGGCATGTTGCCCCATGTTGGCAAGGACAGCATACATTACTCGTCATAACCGTCTTGCTGCTGTCGTCCACAGGGCACTATGTCATCGCTACAAACTGGTATCTCCTGCTCCCCCGGGCCATTTGCCGCACTACATTGAGGATGGTCAAGGCCGGAAGTTGGTGTGGGAAATGCCAATCCCTACAGACAGGATGGTTGGGGCGAATCTGCCGCCGCATCTCGTGTGGGACGATGGCAAGTCAGTCCTACTTATTGACGTCAGTGTGCCACTAAATCACAGAGTAACACTAAAGCATGCTGAGAAAAGAGCGAAGTACCTGCCCCTCGCGGTTGGAACTAGGCAGATTTGGCAGCGGGAAGCGGTGTCCGTCGTGCTCATCATAGTTGGTGCTCTTGATGGCCATTCTATGATCTGTTTTGGGTACAGCATAGGGCTCTCCGCTGGCCCTGGTGGTCTTCTTATGTTCTGTATGTTATTGTATTCGCTTTAGCTTGTAATTGAAACACTGTGGTGTTTATGTGGTTATTCGTGCTTTGATCCTTCTGTGGACACGCACTGTAGGTTGTGCTGAGTGTTGAACCTTGCCGGCCTGAAGTTTTTGCCAACATCTGATGCTCCCCGTTTGCAATATCTGTTATCATGATAACTTTGGGATTTAATGCCTGTGATGGTACATGTGCCTTTCTCCATCCCTCTCTCTCTACCTTACTTTTTCCCCATTATTATTCCGTGCTGCTTACTTTTGGCTATAATAAGTCTGGTGAGTTAGTGTACTACCTCTAATTATTTATATATTTTCAGTTTGGAGTGGAAAAAGAATCATAATACTAAAGTGAGGAAGTAATGGAGTCGGAGAGGGTGTGGTCTAGCCTATCAGGCTCAGCTGCCATGCATACACGTTGCCACACTCACCTCTGATGCATCATGAGAGAGTTGGAGGTGGGCAGTATCACATAGTCGTACATGCCGTCCATCTGGAGTGCAAAGTCCTCTCTAAAAACACACGATAAGACACATTCAGTAGTCAGACATGCAAAAATGTGATCAGAACAAAATCTTTTAAAGAATTCCTCTGCTCTTCACATGAATTTTCTTCGTTCGTCTTTTCGCAGGAGGTGGGGGTTATCCTCTAGTGAGGAAGTAGCCGTGCCTGTTCAGTTGGGCAGATTAAAATAATTATCACCCTTAACTGTGCCTTGTTGTTATACAGTGAGTTGATATTGATGTGCAGAATTTATGTTATACGAGTGTCGGATACGAACATAATGACAGAATAGAAGTACATGTGCGTTGACATGTGCGACCATGTACAATAATCCCGGATCAAGGCTTGGCAGGGAAGGGGTTAAAAGCTCCACGGCTCTCCAGAGTATTCACTTTACCAACAGGGACAGGTCTCGCGGGTGTCGGATAACTGACACGCTGATGAAGGTGACTAGCCTAGACTCTGTACCTACAATCTGTATAGTCTTAAGAATCTACCCCCCCCCCCCCCACAAGTGTTTAGCATGATTGTATCGCACGCCCTCTCAATTAATGGCACTGGCATATGTGGTATTTATCTATATCGCATTTTGTCACCGACTCTCAACGTGCCAGATCAAAGTGCGGATACCCTGGTCCACTGACATCTCATGGTAAGGTAGGTGTGATTTCCTGTGTGCCAGTCAACCTTAAACAATCCAGCTCTCTTTGAAAACAGCCTCACGTACTGCACCCACCGCAGATTTCAGCGCTGGTTGGTGTGGCATCGTTGCATGAAAATCGATCCACAAAGAAAGCACACTTTGGGTATTACTCTCACCTCCAAAACAATTTCGCAATAGCCAAACACACCAGTTCCACCAGCAGAATATCAGGTAGGAATTCATCACAAGCAAAACATTAAAACAGAGAGGTTCCTGGCCGACGGGGGGGGAGTTAAAACACTTTCTCTGTCCTCTTATTGTTTGTCTCAAGCAATACATTAATTGGCATACATCCCAGCCCACAACATGCCCATCCGTACTCGTCCAAGCATTTGACCTTGGTGGCAGACCAGATCACGCTGTCTTGAAAGAAGCTCATCGTGCCCAGCCGGCCGCCAATGATGCGATTACTGGCTTTCTCTTGCACATCAAACTGCTCACCAGAATCCACTATCAGTCCATCTTTAGTGCGAATGGTAGCCCTAGAAGATGAGCCACAGAAGAAGAAAACAAAGTAAGTCCGGGTGAAGAGCATAGGGTGACGTGGCTACAGTATGAAAGACGATAACAATCATAATATCTATCACCTCTCTGCTGTATTTACAGTTAACTTCGCTAATAACGACTGCGGATATAACGACAATTCGCGAATAAAGACAGAATTTCCATGCCCAGAGCAAAGTCCGATCCAACTGTAATACATATAATGAGACTTCGGGTATAACGACACTTCGTGAATAAGGACACTTTTTTGATGCCCCGCCGATTGTCGTTATAAGCGAAGTTGACTGTAATCCATAGTCCATGTTCATTCGTTTTGCCTGTATTTCACCTGATGATAAGGCATGAAAGTATACTAGTGAAAACGTTCAAAATGTTCAAGAGCCTGGAGTGTGTCCTACTTCTAAGTACCAGAACATGTTTGTCAAGGTTTATAGCTCGACTGTGGTCCGTTCAGAAATGGATAGGCCCTGGAGTAGATCGTTTTCTTTCTTTCCTTTGCTGTTCTTTCTCTCCTCTTCTCTCCATACATCTTGTTTGTGTTTTCACTGGTTCACACCTTTAAATGGTGGTTTAGCGTGTGCGCTAAGCCCTCTTAACGAACGTGGAACATCTACCACTCATACTTAGTCTGATGATCATGCATCTGATTATGATGTCATTGCTATACAGCGCAGCGCGCGCCACTCTCCCACGCGTGCTTTCCAAATCTTGCTTTAGAGAGAGAGAAAGAGAAAAGAGAGACTCCTTTGTCACTTTTGCTTTCTGACGACTTGACTGTTCACTGGTTTGTCCGTCAGTTGTCAATTTCCCCTTCCCTTCCAACCCCATTCGACTGGGGGGCGCCGCTCGTCACCTGGCGCTGTCGGAAGGGGCAGGAGTCATGCTCCGGATGGGTCGGCCTCCAGGTCTCCAGTGGCTCGTGTACCGGGACGCCGTGGTCGTAGCTGTAGTGCACTGTCGCCCCGATTGAGACCCATTGCTGGCCCTGTGCCTAGCGCTTCCACTCAACCGCACGCCAGGTGTGTTGATGGTACTGCAGCTGCTGCTGTCTCCATTGCGGCAGTGGATGTCCCCAGTGTGGATGCCAATGGTGCCTCGACCCATCAGTTTAGTGATCGTGATAGCGCTGCTGCTTCTGATGCACCTGACACTACAGATTCTGGTGGTGGTGGTAGTGGCGGTGATGATCCGTGGTCGTCCGGGACGCTGAATACCGCCGTCAGTACCATCTACGATGAGGTGGTGCATTACAGGAGGAATCTGCTTCTCGTGCCATATGGCAATCACTATCTCTCCGTCACTGTCACCATAATTTCCTCAATAACAGTGTCAGTACAACTCTTGTCAATATACTTATATCGGGTGAGGGCAGTCTATCTTCGCAGCTGGCTCATTTCAATCACTAGCGGTCGCAGCTCCTGCCCACGGCAGGCCAACCGTCTCTCGTTCACACTCTGTGTGCTCCAGGTCACAGCTCCTGCGCAGAGTAGGCCGACCTGTCTGTCTCTCTCTCACACACACACTATGTGTGCACCGGGTCACAGCTCCTGCGCAGAGCAGGCCGACCTGTCTTTCTCATGCACGCCAGCTGCTCCGCCCAATATCCCTGATATGCCAACCAGAAAAAATGTGTTCTGAGCCGGGTGCATGCCTGTATGTGGAGAGTGCGTTAATGAGTGATAAGACTCTGGCTTCTGGACCGAATCATTCTTCCACAGATAATGATTATGTTTGCTCCCTTTCGAAATCGGAAGTTGTGATGTGCAACTCCACACACTGTGATGTGCAACTCCACACACTGTCTTTCATCCTGACGCCGCCTCGTACGCAAAGAAGCCCATCCCTGATCTCCTTCTCCAGCACGAGAGGCAGAAGAAGCTGCAGTATAGCGAAAGGATTGTCATGTTGACCGTGGTAACTTCACCCCGCTTGTCTTCACCACGGCTGGCAGTGCATCCCCAGAATGCTTGCGGTTTTTGAAGCGATTATGCGCTATGCTGGCACAGCATGATGGCAAGCCCTACGGCGAGGTTATGGCCTATGTCAGATGCCGTCTGTCGTTTGCACTCCTCCGAGGTGCAGTTATGTGCATCAGAGGGGCTCGCTCTGCATACCATTGACCGGTAAATGCATTGCGCCCACTAGCCATGGCTGAGGGACGGATGTAACAGTGGTGTGTATAACCTCGCTAATGGCAGTGTCCTCAATGCTAATGAACGCGTCATGTTTTTGTTTATAATTTAAGGTGCAATTTAGCGCTGATGTGGGTATTTCTTTGCTTTTCTTCATTTGGTCCTTTAAAATGAAGCGGCTTTTTACTTCCTTCTTCTTCTTTTGCACCGAGATATTATTTCTTGCTGTTTTTTACCGGATGTGTCACGACTTTGAATTGAACTGAATTTTCCTGAATTGATTTGATTTTTAGTGTTATGAGCGGCTTTATTGACATTGCTCTTCAGATTGGATTTTTATTGGCCCGTAAAAGAGGCTCCTTTTAACTCCACACACTGTGATGTGCAACTCCACACACTGTGATGTGCAACTCCACACACTGTGATGTGCAACTCCACACACTGTGATGTGCAACTCCACACACTGTGATGTGCAGCTCCACACACTGTGATGTGCAGCTCCACACACTGTGATGTGCAGCTCCACACACTGTGATGTGCAGCTCCACACACTGTGATGTGCAGCTCCACACACTGTGATGTGCAGCTCCACACACTGTGATGTGCAACTCCACACACTGTGATTAGTTAAAATACCGTATATGGATAGTCAAAACCTAGCTGAGAGGTCCACACCCCAATCCTTGTTTCTTCGGGCGTGAAATTTGAGCTTCAGAAATAACATGACAATTCCTAGGAGATAGAGCAATGTTTGTTAGGGTCCGCAACCCAGCCAAAGGAGAAAGTCTACACAATGCGTGAACAGCCAAAACGACACGGAATTGATGTCGGGTGACATCGGAACGTGCTGGGTTAGGTGGCAAAATCCCAGCTGTGTCTGCGCGTACACTGGGAATGTGGCATGCTCCACTGCAATGTCAGTATGTGTGTGACCGAAGGTTAAATTGTCAGGAAAAGAGGCGTTGGCTGCTGATATAAAACACTTGGCATCACGGTGCACATGCATCACCAGATTATGGCAGCGCGAGCATACCTGACTAGGTGAGATTCTGGACGGTGAACAAGAGTAACGGAGTAGGCCGTGTTCGGTGTCCAGCACCTCTTCTGTGTGTCGTGCCAGACCTAGAGGTGGGAAAGAGAGAGAGAGAGAGAAAGAGAGAGAGAGAGAGAGGAAGAGAGAGAGATAGAAAGAGAGAGAGATATATAGATGGAGAGATAGAGAGAGAAAGAGAGAGAGAGAGAGAGAGAGAGAGAGAGAGAGAAAGAGAGAGAGAGAGAAAGAAAGAAAGAGTGAGAGAGAGATAGAGATAGAGAGAGAGAGAGAGAGAGAGAGAGAAAGAGAGAGAAAGAAAGAGAGGGAGAGAAAGAGAGAGAGAGAGAGAGAGAGAGAGAGAGAGAGAGAGGGCGGGAGAGGGAGGGAGAAAGAGAGAGAGATGTTAGATATCACGTGAGACTGTGGAACACCGCATACACATGAGTAGCGCAGAATGTTGAATCTTACCAGGAAGTTTGAAGTTTCCCAGATATCTTCACTCAGCTCGCCATCACTAAGCTGCAAGGAGCTGACAATTCGCTGAGAGAAAAAAAACACCAGCAAAAACAAACGCTACATTATGGTCATCACACCCGCATATGGACGGTGGAGGCTGAAGTCCAATAGCAAATAAAATCAAAAGTGCGCGCACATGTTCATGCATATGTATCAGCTCTTTAGGTACAAGCAGATGGTAATCTGCCTGTCCTAATCAATTTCAGGCTGAAACTTTAGTATTGACACTATCTATAGGAAAGAAAAAGGACCGAGGAGCTACAAGCTACGCTATAATATCCACTAACACCACCAGTTACTAAACAATCAGCTCATGCGATAACATTGCACGGCACTGACCTATGTTATCATAATTATACCTGAGAACCTTCCAAGTTGAAAGGCTGTTGGAGTGCGCATCCAGGATGTGCTAGAGCTGTTAGCCAGATAGTCGTAGAAAGTCAGTACCGTCGGTCAGTGTCGTGCAATGTTATCGCATGAGCTTTTTCTTTTTCTTTTTTTTTTCAGGCCTCTTTTACGGGCAAATTAACACAATGGTTTAAAATGCAATAAATCATACACTGGAGAAGAAATCAGAAAAATGCATGTGTAAAATAAAGAATTTCAAACCCAAACCAAAAAAACTTCAAATCTATTTTTTATAATTAAAATAAACTCAATCAATAAACTCAATTCAAAAAGGTGAAAAAATAACAAAACAAACAAAAAACACTGTACTAAATAATAAGAACACCAATAACTTCATCAAGAAAAATCAAAAACCAAAAACAATAATTATCGCATGAGCTGATTGCTTAGTAGCTGGCGGTACTAGTGGACATTATAGCGAAACTTGTAGTTCCTTGGGACTTTTTCTTTTCTATAAATTTATCCTTGGCTCTCCATCCGAGTCCATTATTGACACTATTACTTGCAGTACTGGTTAGTCGAGGGAACTGGCATTACAAAAGTATAAGACAAAAATTACAAATTGTTCATTTTTGCTACTACCAGGGTGTGAATCTGCTGCAATGGGAAATCTAGCTACAGGGGTGGCAAAACATGGAGGCTGTGACTAGGCCATACCCTTCCTTGCCTACACTTCCACGCTGCGTGCAATTATGACCGCAAGGTGCCAAGCTTGAGTCCTGGTGGGGTTGGCATTTTTTTGCTCTTCGGGCAGTTCACTTCCCTGACTTGTTTACATTGAATTTGAAGTTCTCCTAGTCCCATACAATCAAAAACTTTCATTAACCTCTGGTAATAAGTGCCAGAAATTGACCACAGTTGTTGGTCGGGAAAAGACCCAAATGCTGTCAACATGAGTTGCGAGCGTTGCGAGCTGCTGTCTATGGAGTGAACACGTTGTCCGTGCCTTCTATGTTCGACCTGGTCCCCTAGTTGGCATGGTCAGAGCAATGCTCTCCACAACCCAGTTACCAGGTTCGAGTCCAGGTGGGGTTGTCGTTATTCTCTTGCTTCTCTGATAGTTCACATTCCCGACTGTTGACATTGAAATCATAATGTTACACCCGAAAAGAACACGTTCCTGCCAAACCACTCTTATCAGACTGCTCCTGGTATCTTACCCGGATTGAGAGTCCTCCATGAGCTATGGGCGAGTTCAGGCCGGAGTACAAATGTGACGAGCACTTCCACATCATCAAGTAGAATCGGCGGCTGCTCTGATAGCCGAACACCAGGCCCACATAGCCCTTGTTGTCACCCCTGACAAACAGAGTAGTGGTCATCTCAAAGCTGCCATACCGTTGTTCACCTACAATGAAATGGATCAGATAATTATGCATGTATAAATCAATTCAGGACACCCTTACAACTGCGAGTACACTTCGTACAGCAAGTGTCAACGTTAGAGCCTGAATTATTCATGGCATAGAAACCGATCGGTATAAGGAAGACCAGAGAACAATTAGGGAAGAGTTCTTGAGCAACGTCCTACCAAGTCCAGCAACTAACCAAGCACGCAGTTGGTGGACTCACCCGTAACGATGTGTTACTGGTCGAGGACCTGGGCATGTATCCCCCCCCCCCCCCCTCCCGCCCTTCTACCCATGGAATAAGTGACCACACCATGAATTCTATGATGTACCGGAATGGAGCAAGGGCACAAATTGCGTCGGCTTAAGTATCATGGGATAAATCACGGACAAGCGCATAAGATACCAGTAGGAAAGTTTGGGGATTTATCCACTCACCTAGCAAAAAGGTTAGACCTGTGTCCGGATAGTCAGTACGTGTTACTTCCCGTCCCTGCAAGCAACCAAAAAAAAGAAGTGCACACAAAATCCAGAGGCGGATCCAAGGGGGGGGGGGGGGTGGAACCCCTAAATTTCGCAAATGTACTCCTTGAAACCATATGCATGGACATGTGTATGTATCAGCTATTCAGTTTTGACTAAACTGGAAGCCCTGTAGAGATCTCTGGATCCACCCCGGAGTTCCAAGTCAATATGCTCTATACACATATCAGCGTGGGAGCACCCAGTCCGGCCGGTCGGGCCATTACTGGACCGTATTTCCAACAAAAGTTGACCTACCTACTTTGCACAAAACGGATTTTTGTCAACAATGTTTCATTTCCGGACAAGTATCCTGTTTGGGCACACCCCTGAAACCCTGGTGCTACGGCCCTGCACATGGAGAGCATCCGTAAGAACGGTAACGATGATCAACCACATATAGAATTCCTGAATTACCGACGTCCAGTCACTGGTGAATGTGTTCACAACCTCAGCAGAGATGCTGGAGTGGCAGTTGAAGATTATAAACCATTGCCAGGACGTTATGATAACGGATTCAAACTTTTCAATCTCAATTACCTGATCAGTCAACTTCCAAGTGCGGTGTGCCGTACCTGCCATACCAGCAGTGCCAAAATGCACTATCCGGTGTTTCAGAAAGCTGAAGTTCTGCACGTGTGGATTGAGTGGGCAGGCGTCGGAGGCATCTTCTGAGCCATCCCTGTCGCTATCGTCAGCGCATACATCTCCAATACCATCTCCTAAAACAGTTCATATTACAGTAAACACAATTAGTTACTTCAGATGCGGTATGTACGCACTCAATTCAATCCAGTTGGTCAATGTTGGCTTTTTCCAGGGCAATACGGATGCCTAGAGAGGTGAATTCCAGGAAAGGGTAGACCAGTGGCTACATGAGTGACCAACTTTCTGATACGGACCATTGCGCTCTAGTAGCTGTATTTTTTGCTCTAAATGTACTAGATGTGCGCAAGACCAACCATCTGTGTTGCGGAAGTATTGTTTGTTCGACACTCTAAACTGGAAGGTGTGATCTGTAGCCTAAGTGCATACATGTGCAGACTTGCAAATTAGATGAAGCTTTAAGTGATAATCCACATGTGGGTGCAGCACGTATCATGTGTTCTGTGCGTCACAAAAACAATGCTTCATACTGTTATGTAAAATTCAGAAATTTACATGTAAATCAAGAAAGAAACGTAGTAATGGAGCGAGCAATCAGCTGTGAGCCAGTAATGCTAAATGGCAGTGGGCTGGCAGCACTGAAGACTGCCGGCCTGTTGCTCAGAGCCTCAGCGGGGTCCGCTGCTTACCGTTTGAATCAAGCTGTTCAGAGTTGTTTGCATACGGACAGTTGTCTCTGCTGTCCAGAACTCTATCCCCATCCATATCCGTGTCACAGCGGTCACCTGCATATATGCATACATGCAAAAAGTGTCTTCTATGTCAACACGATGCTAGCTACTGAGCTTTGAGACAGGGACATTCAAACAGGTACTTCACATGTGACTAGCCGCAGTTCAGCGCATATGAATTGAATACCAAATCATTCGTTTGGAAACTTGAGAACTGAAGAAGATTTGGAAATGGGAGCCGTTGAAAAGCTAGTCTATGGCGTAAAAAGGGTAACACTCAAAAGTCATTTAGGAATCATTGTTGCTTCTAATAAGAGCCTTGTGGCATCATTTTCGGAGAGAGGAGGTGTGTAACTTTTCTAAAGAGTCCACATGAAGAATTTCCATGATTGCAGCACGTAATTCGAATTTTTGAAGTGTACATTACTGTTGCGACTTATTTCAGCTGTACACCTGAAGAAGTGTGGCACTCATGGCAGTCCATCCTTTCCTGTCATTTGCTTACCATTCGAGTCATTGTCTAAATCTGATTGGTCGGGATTGGCAACAACACCGCAATTGTCCATGGAGTTCACCACACTGTCGTAGTCTCTGAAGAACACAACATAAAATCACAGACACGCGATAGTCTCAGCACCAGGAAACTGGACCAGGTCGGCAAGGCTTTACTGCCTTTTAACTTCACCGAATCTATCTCAGTATAGGATGGTCCGCTTTTCGGCATTCGCAACTTAACATATGGACGTACCTATCTGACCAGTGAATCCTATGCCGTTCTGACAGATGTTTGACATGATTGTGAAAGTATCATAAACACGGTTGACCGAGACTTGCCTTAGAAGATGACCAACCACTGAGTGCCAAAATAGAAGTTTACTCCTGCATGGCATCAGCCAATTGAGGGGAATTCTAGAGGTCTTTGTGGGCTACCTTACAACATCACCGGAACATCGGCCTGTCGGACCTCAAAATGGAAGGCCATTCACTCCAGCAAAGCGCCATCGATAGCCAGGAA